AGCAGGACAGACAAGGCTGCTGTCCCCAGGAAGCGGCCGTGAGAACCATCTTCTCACTGGTGAGAACTCCAGGTCTTTCCTATTATGTTAATGGACCGCTGATGCCACAAAAAAGGGTCAGAGGGGCAATGACAAAACACTGGGGGACCCCCAGGCAGGAAGGACCATGGGGATGAGGCCAGTGTGGTCCAACAGAACCCAGGCATCCTGGCTCTGCACTTGGGGACCTTTGGGGGACGCACATGAGGGTAGGGAGTGTAGGTCCCAGGGGACGTTAGTGATGACTTTGAGAGACCACGCCCAAGTCAACAGTTGGAAAGCCCACCTTCTACAGGACTGAGTTGGAAGGAGTGATTTAAATTATATTAATTGTTTTTATTAAAATGTGCTTATTTGGCTCCCTCAGTTCCAGAAAAGATCTGAAACCATTTATAATATTGCTAAAGATACAATATAACTTAGAAGCCATTATTAGTAAGCTGCGTCAAAATTTCGGCTTGCCAGCGTGCAATGACCTGAAGCTCTTAATCTCTCACAGCCACCTGCACATCCAGTGGCTGCCCTTGAAAACAGCATCTGAGTAACGGATGGAGCTCTGTGAGGGGACTCGTACACAGACAGCAGCGAGAGCTCCCGAAGGTGGGACTCACGGTGTGACCAGAGGCAAGTTCGTGTGCCTGATACCCCATGAGGCCAAACAAACGGAAAGATTGGAGTTTGGAGCAGAGAAAGGTTTACTGCAGGGCCGAGCAAAGAGGACAGGGTGGCTCATGCCTAAGAAAACCCCGAACTCCCTGAAGGACTCCTGGATTAGAGACACTTGTCACCAAGAAGGGACCTGATTAAAGTCCAGCCAGGAGGGCCACTGGAACAACAAATGCCCCATGTAGGGGAAAGTCCACCAGGACCCTGCCCGATATGCAAATGAGAGGCTACTGGAAGCAGGCCTGCCCCCAGTCCCAAAGGGGGCTTGGGGCTCCCAAACCAATGAAGGCCAAGAGGACCGAAGACTGACAGGCCCAGGACCCCCCCTGGCTCCCAAAGGACACTGGTCATTTCTCCAGAGGACTCTAGGGTAACCCCTGGCATGGCAGGTAGGAAAGTGTTTTCTTACTAGATATGGAGGCCACCTACTCTGAGCAGACTGCTTTCCCTGGACCCTTGTCCTCCCAATCCTGTACAATAATGGGGATGTACAGAAGGCCCCACACCAAGCAATTCACCACCCTTCTCCCCTTAGCTGCCTGCTAGAAAATTTTACCTCTGCACATGAGTCTCTGCTCATGTCTGTGTGCCCTGTCCCCTTGCCGGGAAGGGACTAAATTCCAGACAATAGTCCAATTCAGAGACCTTTAATGGGGACGGCACCCACCAAGAAAAATGCCTGCTCTTGGCCATGGGAGCCTGCCTCAGTCCCAAGCCAAAGGAGGCCTGAGAGAACCCACCCACCTGAGAGAACCCCGCTGTCGGGGACACTGTGGTCCCTGGCAGAGCTTCTATTGTCAGGCTCCCTTTAGAAATGAAACTGAGACAGGAGGGAAGGGGCCAGGGCACAGCCATTCAAGAAACGGCAGCAATTAACACCAAAATGGTGAAAGATTCAACTCCCAG